GGCGTTCAGTAACAATATATTATATATTATGCGTCTACTTATACATATACTCAATTATACGTATGGCATGCACATGTGTGTGTATGTATGTGTGTGTGTGTGTGTGTGTGTGTGTGTGTGTGTGTGTGTTTGTGTTTGTGTGTGTGTGTGTGTGTGTGTTTGTGTGTGTGTGTGTATGTGTGTGTTTGTGTGTGTGAGCGCGCGCTTGGCTGTTGGTCCAACTCTAGTGAAATTCAAACATAATTTCTCGACAGTTATTTGTTGCAAGATCAATATTAAATTTGAAAGTAAGTAAGTTGAAAGTTGATTACATATTTCCTTGATACAAAACATCTCATTGTCGAATGACAACATTAGGATGGGTAGCAGTTTGCCATCAAACAAATATATCGTGGGATAGCATGTTGACTCTACTGGGCCATACAGTTGTGTCTGTGTTTTACAACAGAAAGGGTGAACGATGCGCCCGTAAAGTTTTGCAATGACGAGAATATTGGCGCCCTTTTGCGCTCTGAAGTGGAAAGCAACACCAAAGAAGCCAATTCGTTGTCGAAGAGTTGAACTTCACCTTTCAAATATTTCTGTTTACAAACGATCTTGATTTGAAGGCATGTCATATTTCGATATGACAAGCCATGCCATTTCTAGTTCCCGCGCCAGGGAACATATCAAAATAATATGTAGATGATTTCTTGAGGTCTCATTCTAATAGCAACTCAATCATGGAAAGAGTGTTTCCACGATGAAGCCAATTTTTATCTGAAGAGAGACGTGAACACATGAAATCACATTCACTGTAATTCAGAAAGACCACGCGTCGTTGATCAAAACCTGCACAAATGGAATGCAGCAGCGTGGGTTGCATCGAGTCAGTATGGATTCATTGGTCTGAATTAGTAAATGGTTGAAGACAGTAACAGTGGCAGCAGATCGTTATCTGAGGATTTAAATCTATTTTGAAGATCACTGGGCAGATTATGTGGGACCTCAGGAGCGAAAGCGACAGAGGTTTTAGCAAAAGGGAGCGCACAGCAGCTCTAGCCATTGTATGGAACCAAAATCACTTCAACAGAAATCGTGAGATACATTGTGCTTGAGCCTTCATACTGTCACGATCTGAACCTGTTGGACTTCCAGTTATGGAGTTACCTTAATTGACAGATGTGTGTCCAGACTTTTCCCATCCTTTGTGAACTGAAGCAAAACGTGGAGCACCTTGTTTGACACATTTTTAGAGAGCAGCGCCAGAAGGTAATAAATCACGTTTCAACGCCGAGCAAGGGAGTTTGTCGGTCATGACTGCCGCCACAAAAAGCGTATTCTTTGACTGCCCAGAACTTCTGTAACTAATAGTGGGATTCTCCTGCAAATTGACAAACTAAATTCAGAAGAATGGTTCTCCTTTTCCTAAACTATTTTACTGTGCCTTCTACGGATTTTAAAATATGAGCTTTTGTTTGAATTTCGCCAGAATTGGGACACGTGACAAACACACACACACACCAAGTGTGAGTGCGTATGTGTATGTGAGTGTAGTGTGTATGTGTGTTTGTTTGGTTATTTGTGTGTGTGTGCTTGTGTGTGTATGTGTGTGTGTGTGTGTGTGTGTGTGTGTGTG